TTGCTACTAACTAGTATCGTGTGAAAATAAAACAAGATTCATCACAAGGAACGAGAGCCGGACAGGTAAATAACTTGGACGTACACACCTGCATAACCTCTATAAAAGTTAGGCAATCGGCTCATTAAGCTAAATAACGTGTATATATAACTGCTGTTATATTAATATGCTCTATTACTAGATAATATTATTATTGCCAATGCTTAATTTATGTTATATTAATGGTGCCGTAATAAGTCTCGAGTGAATCGTGATAACAGTTGCAGTTATTTGAGCATAAATGAAGAAACTGAACAGAAGGAACAAATTGACAAAGCACCACTTTTTGCAATTATTACAGGAAGCTGGAGGCGCACGCACGAGAGAAGCCAACCTCGTCGGGAGAATCAACCTCGTCGGGGGAGGCAACGTCAGCAAACGCTAACGACAAAAGCGGAAGCATTAAGACCGAGTCAATTGATCTTTCCCCGCTTCTATCCGACGCCCATCAACTTACGGCCTGAGGACCGCGCCCCTGCCAGATGTCGAAATACACGGTAAAGGTGCCGCCGGCAGGCTGGGGTGAGCCCACTATAGACGCCAAGCGTGTATCGCATGAGTTCTCGTCAGCAGAACATGATGGGTACGTGTCTAAGACTCCTCATCGCAACCTAGGCGGGCGCATTCACATCGACTACTGGTGAGTTTTGAATTTAGACAGCAGCAGCTATACTCGCACGCACGCACGCACGCCCACATGTGGACATACACGCGCGAACCCATTCACTCTAATTTTAAACTTTATATGGTTAAAGACGAGATGTTTGTGGCAGAATCGCAATGTGAGATCAATGACGACTGGGATTGATCGCGTAACGTTGCATCTTGTTGCGTCATCTAGTATTCGCTGACCATGATATCATTGCCATGTACCGCGGCGGAAGCACACATATGTGCGAGTAAATATTGACTAGCAGAGTCTACAAAGAAGCGTGTTGAACTTTGGATATATAGCTCTCGATAGCCACGATCACTCAGTGTGCGATTAATAGGAAAGGTAAATATGTTCGGTTTTCTTTGGAAGGTCGGGTAACAGATCATGCTGTCAATGCCTGGTAACCGATAAGCATCAGAAGCCAGTAGGCACAAATTTGTCCACTTCTAGACAGCTGCATCAGTTGAGTAAATGTGATTATGGGCATCCTATGACGAGGTGTTTTGTTTTCGGGGTTCACGTGAAGAATGGTGCGTTGCGGATAGCTTCCAAATAGCGCGTCACGGTACTAATGTACTAACTACGAATGTAGACGAGCTATCTCTGACATAGTTTGATGTTTTCTATGATCCGATAGTATTTGTTATATATATTACTTAACTAATATAGTATATGTATTAAATACTATATGTATAAAATAACCAATAAAGTTTATTGCGAGGTTTAATTACAGTCTCCTTCAGTTGCAGTAGCGTCTCATAGTAACATTTGATAGATGCGTCATAAAAATTTCATTTGTAACTTACTTCGCAACACATGTTTGTGACAATGTAGGGATTGGCGTCTATGAAGTGCTATAATAATTTATAATATATAATAGGTTCCGTTAGTGCAACGTTATAGGGCCAAGTGTTATAGTACAACTGAAATCCAACGTTGCCGTGGCCGTTAGTGTTGTCAGTAATAATTAAACAGGTTATATATATATTATCATATATTATCAAAATTGATTTTTGCTCACTCGTAATAAGCGAGTTCGTAGTTAGCCAAGGGGTTGTGTGACGTCACAGGTCACCGGGTCATTTGTGACAAAAATCGGTGAAATCTCAAGTGCGGCGTGCGCTCTCGGTTCAGTACGTATATGTACATGTATTCAGTGTACGTGCACACGCACGTGTACGTACACACGCACGCACGCACGCACGTGTAACTCCACACGCACGCAGGCACGTGTATGTGCACACGCACGCAGGCACGTGTACGTGCACACGCACGCACGCACGTGTACGTGCACACGCACGCACGTGTACGTGCACATGCACGCACGCGTACGTGCGCACGCGAAGACTGTAGCATTACAACGACACAGGTGCATGCGTATGTGTACTGTGCAGTCGAAATACGAAATGTTTTTCACAAATGACCTAACCCGGAAGAATTCGTGGCAAAGTTCGTGCATGCGCAGACTGTAATTACGAACTCGCTTACTTATCGAGATAAGTATCACAGGTTAAAACAATTCTAACGTCCCTAATGTCCTCCATCGCATAACTTCTATTTCTATTTTTAACATAACATAATTTCTGCTCACACGCTGATACGTATGCACTCATTTTAAAGGTTCGTAAATAAATTGTTCTATATAATGGCGGCATGTTTCCTCCAAAATAATTCAATGTACGATTTTGAATTTTCCTACATCTATACAAACGATTAAGCCTAGTTATCGTCATCGTTTTCATCGATTAATATCTATTCCGATGTCTCAATATTGCAGATATGTCTGACCAGAACACGGCCAAGTCTTTACGGAGCTAAAAATCTTGCTAAAGGAGAGCATACCAAGTCTTCTTATATCCAGCTCCTATGGGGAAAAAGGTAACTCAAATGATTTATCTATTAGAACGCTTTAACAGTAGACCGTTGAGCATTTTTATGTCACACTATGAGCGATATGTCTTTACGTTTGCATTATTAATTATTTTATATTTTTGAATACACACACACACATACACACACACATACACACACACACACACACACACACACATCACAACAGCAACATTATGTATATATTATTGATTATATTTATAATTTATCTAGGTTCTGTTTTTCGAAGTGAGCTTGAACAATCAGTTGATCTACCTCCAGACTGGAAACTCAAACAATGGGTGATCTATCAACAGTACGTGGAATTAGCATAAACTAGAGTATAGAACGCTTTAAGTAATTTGATATAATAATTTTTAAGTAGAAGTAAAAACATTTATTTAAGTAAAATTTAAGCAAGGTGCGTTTAGAGTAATGTGATGTGTATTTATTATCTATTCAAGATATCAATCAGATGTTCCAAGTGATTTTTCATCCATTTTTGCGATTGGTACCGACCGAATTAACTGATCAGATTTGTAAATTCCGGCTAAATGCACAGGGAAATTAGGGTATAGAGATTGTATGAAATTAACATGAGCTATTAATTCCAATAGTCGACCGACGTGATTAAAATATTAGCATGCTGAGCAGATACTCGTCCCCCGCAAGAGCCGAACATGCACCAATCCTGTAAACGCACCTCATGTGGACATAGTAGCCTACATTCCAGGTGGCTGTTATCAGAAATATATATAGTCGTAATATAAAGTCCTATCTGTTTACTTTTTTCTACGTGTTATAATAGTACTAATAATCATCGTAGAGCAACCGATGTTTCTGATAAAGAGTGCGCTTGTAGTATTGCGGTATTGTCTCTGCATGGTAAGTTGGTTGTCGCAAGCGCACGTCTCAACTAACATGCGCACAATTAATAAATGATATGTGAGCATAATCAGGAGTGAATAAATAATAGATTCTATTATTTGTAATGATAATGATAATTATAATTAATGAATTGATAGATTCTATTATATTTCACTCCTGCGATAATGAAAAAATTTCACGGGAGCGATTTGCAGCTTAACACTACTAAACGGCATGTATAACGGCAAAGTCATTTATTACTCAACTTAAGTTTATGTTTGTATTTGTTAGCGTGCAAGCAGTTCCACACATAATAAACGTATAAGTTAACTGCAAACCCATCAATCCATTAGGCTTAAAAGTAATGTCCAGTTAATCTACTGCCAGAAATATCCCAACGCAGGCTATGATAAATGCGGTCGCAGTTATGCGAACTGAATGTCGTGAAGACTAGATAAAGTTCGCCATACTGATCTGAAAAAAGTAATATGTTGTACCTTCGTCTTCCGCAACACATACGAGAAAAACCTCCATCTTTCACGTGAGCAGTGGGGGTTGTCTTCTTGAGAAAAATTGACGAATATCTGGCTGAAAGGTTTGATCCAAAGCACGCTGTCTGAATCCTCTGCCAGCAACACAGACCTGTCCAGCGTGAAGCAGTGGGTGACCAAACGATGTTATTGCAGACGTATACATATATTAGGCGAATTAATTACTTTATAGCAACAGTGTCATGCAAGCCTGTTCGTCTATATACACCGCCGCGTTGACGCCACGAAAGCATGCACGCACCCTTGCTGACGTTTGCCTTGTTCGCTATGCTGTGCGCGCGACGCACATATGAGCGCCGACCGCACATACAGGGGCGTGTACAGGAATTTTGACCGGGGGGGGAGGTCCTAATAACCGTAACCCAAAGCTTGCGAGCTACCGCGAAAGGGGGGGTCTCGGGGAAAATTTTGAATCTAGACCCCCCTTATATGCTTTTTCTGCGCGAGCAGGGGGGTCCGGACCCCTGGACCCCGCCCTCGTACACGCCCTGACATATGTCCTAGGCGCGAGACCGCCATTACTAGTAGGCGCGGACGCACATATGTAGGCGTGGACGCACATATGTAGGCGCGGACGCACATATGTAGGCGTGGACGCACATATGTACGTACGTACGTACGCGTAGGCTGAGTGGGGACGAACAATTGAGTCCCCCACCAAACAGTCGCCAGGCACCGTAACTATACGCACCAGCGTATGCGTTCCTATCATGTATACTATAGTTTTGATGTGACATGATAAATATATGTGACATGTCTATCAATTATGTTACTCATAATATTATCAGGAGTGTATAATATAGTCTAATACAGAGAGCCTATATTATACACTACTGATATGATCAAGCTATAGCGTATGTATAAATTGATAAATAAACATTTTCTATGTGAAGTTTCACGTGGAGAGCTGGCCTTTGCACGTATTCATTTTAGGCTGAACTATAATTTTTCACTTGAATTATGCACGGTGTCAGGGCATTGCCAGTTTTTGTGAGAAATACAAAAAACCGAGACGTATATTTAAGACAAAATGTTGAAAAACATAAAATGTTTTTTTAATAATAATTCACACATCGAAACGCAGAAACCACAGCAGACAAATGAGCACTAACAGTCCGCATGTGCTAGAATTACAAAACATTTTACATAATCTATAAAATCTTAATTGCTACGTGTATTTCCACGTATTACCTCAACGATCTTTATTTACATTGCATTTAATATTAAAGCTACACTAACCAGTTAATAATAAATTAGCAAAATTAACAACTTATTCTCAGTATATAAAAATAGCAGTGGCTGTATGACAGCAATTAGCTACTATCTATAAAACGTACTAGTTTGTTGTAACTGGCTGTCCACTTTGTTACTGCAGTATAAAATACTGCCCTGGTTTTTGCAGAGTAAATGGGTGCCGCAGCACAAGCCTAATTAATGTGGAGCTCAAGTTTAATAACAGTGCATCCTCAATTCCGAGTGCAAAACCCAGCAAGGATTTTATAATCCTTTTATTAGAATCACATTCACTGTGACATTCAAAGCTGTGCTCCACACTCACAAAATATGAGGAAACCCATTGCCTTAACCGGGTTATCCGTACAGTCAGAAAACTACAAGATAATTTATGGATAGCCTAGCTTAACACACAAACATCACGCCAGTAACATTGTAGTTATTCTGCGTATTATACTTCTTCTTACTCAATGTTGTGTTCACTATTCAGTATTTGTAAGTACACCATTTTGTTAATATAGCTCAAGCAACGCATAAATAATTATTCAAAGACATACCGCTAAAACAAACCCAAAACGTAGCCAGCCGTAGTCAACATATGTAGCAATAATATTAACTATAAACGTTAACTATATATGTTAATCTGAAAAGTAGCTGCACGATAATTGACTTTACCACCACTAGGCAATAGTGCACAAATCACATAGATAAAGTTTATCCCCAAAACATTGAGAAGTCTAACCAGTGAATGTACTTACATACTGATTTTACATATATATAATTATGTAGTAAACACCTTCTGGTCTACGCCTAGTATATCGTTACTAATAACGTTCACCTTTGTTATACTGTAAATTTTGTGAGCTTACTTCTCCATACTGAAAATATAAATACAAGGATAATTGAACTTTCTGAATCTCGTTATATATTCTACACATAATTGAGTTTGATAATTGTGAGTATTGATAAAAAACTACCAATGCTTCTAAGTAGCTGTCACTAGGTCTAGTGGATGTACCCAATGTCTAGGTCAATAAGTCACCGGTGAAAAGGCACTAGGTACACAGAGTAGATATCATTCAGTCATTATCTGTGTACTGGTATTATCACAGGAGACGATCTCAATTATTTTGGCGGTCTGTATCATCCATATATCCCACAGCTATGAATGTCTTTTGCCTCCTCTGACCTCGTTGGTTCACTTTCAACACTAATATCTCGCACTCATCTGCCATCGCTAGTCTATCTCTATTCCTCAATCTCATAATACAGCTGCTTCCTGGACTCCTTATTCACACACTGTGCTGCACTGATGGACCTCTAAATTGCATCACAGTAGACAATGTTGTGAACCACTATGATTTTTTATCGATTTCACTAGTCTGTGTTGATGGCACATGCTGTGTATTGAACAGCTGGTGATTTGATAACGATACTGGCACTGGGATAGTGATGTAGTGCTGCGCCTGCTGACCAGTGGTGCCACCTATAGGATAAACAAAACGTATAATTACACAACTGAAAGCACACTTTATAAACTACATGCACAAACAATATACGTTTAGAATACAAGCGCACACACAAACTTTCACAATAAACGATAGTTTTCTAAACGCACAATATACAATCATACAAAGCAGCACTAATCACAAGGGAAGAACAAAGGAAAAAACCACTTACTTTGGTCCTGTTGCTGGAAGTTAAATATGACGCCCTCGGGCAAGCTTGTAGTTGGTGCTGCATACATAAGACCCTGTGCAGTCTGATAAACTACTGTGCGTGGCAACGAATTTATAGTACTTGGTGTACTACTCGTGATAGGAATCATCATGTTTCCTAAAAATAATGGTAATAGAAAACTTGTTAATACAAATGAATGTTATGTCATGAGAAGAAGCGAAACAGATCAAGTGTATAGGAGACAGGTGATAAAAGCACAGGAAGTGCGATGAGAAAGAGGGAAAAACAGAGTGCGGTATAGCAAGGGAAGGAGAAAGAATACGTGAGAGATAGATAGATAGATAGATAGAAAGAGAGAGAGAGAGAGAGAGAGAGAGAAAGGAAGAGGAGAAGGGGGAGGAGAAGGAGGAGGAAGAGGAGAAAGAAGAGGAGGAGAAGGAGGATGAAAGACATATTAAGTAAAGTACTTACCAGACATAAGCGCTACAGATTGTTGTGCTGTGAGTTGTGAAAGTGTCGTTCCATCCGCAGCACCACTAGGGTTAACGCTGCTTCCTTGTGTAGCAGATGCTGAAATGATGCAGGAAAATATTCAAAGTAAATAACAACAGAACATGACTAACGTCTATAATGGCCTGCATCTATTTCTAGTTATTTTAAGTATCACTGCCAAGTAGTGCCTATACGCAGAAATTCTACCTTTAAATAGTTGGAGGACTAAAAAGGAACTAAGTAAATATAGGTGACTTATAGATGAACATTCATCAAATACTTACTTGATAGATTCAATGCTTGTTGATGCTGACTCTGGGACACCTTGACTAGAGGAGGAGGGACATTTGTCTGTTGGGTAGAAGATGGTGGGTTGGAAGACATTGCTCCTAGCTGCACAGGCTGACCTGCAACAAATCAAAATAGTTGCTTATTAGCAACATAATCTAGATATTCCATCTGTGATGGTACATTATTAAAAGTTAATTTTCAACTGCAAAATCAAATAAGCGGATTGAAGCTCACTCTGAAATACTAAACCATGTGTATGGCAAACAATTATTAAACATGCCAAACAGACTACCTGAAATCAGCAGCTTATTCAACATCCTTCCAGAATGGAAAAAAATTGTCAGACACCATAAGAACCACTCGTTTAGGAAAAACTGTGTGAAATGAGAAATTGTTGATTAAATCAGGTTTCTGAACTCTTGCAAAGAAAGTACACTGGAGAGAATACTAACTGTAAAGCCACATTACAAACCTGGAGCAAGCATTGTGAAGCCAGCTGCCGGAGGAAGCTGCATTGAAAGCCCTGTAGATGGCCCCACTATCGCCTTGTTGGATAGAGAATAAGTACCCCCTGATGGCATTGCATTAGGCAATGGGTGGCTGTGGGCTGGGGTGGGTTGTGCCAGAGGAGCAGGGGAGTAACCATCCGATTGTGATCCATCCGAACTCATTCCAAATAACACGTGCTTAGAATCCTGTAGGTGATGAACATATATTGAACATATGGTGAATATATATATATACCTCAACAAAAACGTGTGAAACAATGTACTATTCCGAATAGTTGTACAATGTGTCACATTGCTACATTGGGATTTGCACATTACTTACGCATGTACATGTACATATCAGCCACATCTAATTTTAACACACTACTTGAAATGTACAGTACATTTTGTTTTTTCTCATGTGCTTGTCGGTTGACATTTTGCAGCTATAAATAAGGTTCTTTTATTAACCACACTGAAGCAAGTTTAGGAATTTATTTCAAAGCAAAACAAGCCAGCGTTGATGAGAACATTTATTCACTCCTATCAGACTCACAGAAACCCACGTTTCTTAATAAAACAATTTTTAGTAATTCGGTATAATCAGGATGGTACAAAAAATGTTTATATTAGTAACTGCCCAGTGTTTCTGGTGAGCAGCAAGCTAACTAGCGACCTTGCGGATTCCAGAAATGGTTACATTTTCTACTGTTGTGTAAGTGCATGCATGCATGCACGTACGTACGTACGTACGCACATATATATCCTGATATATATACATTTTATGCAAATCTTAACCAATGTGACTAAGAGTGCAGTTGCATGCTGTACTTATTTTCAGCAGCAGCTGTCCTCTGATGAAGCCGCCCCATATGGGGTTTCAGGACAAATATAGAGCAAGCAACCTTTGTAGGGCCAGACGTTCCTTAGCAAGAAGATGGCATGTACGAAGTTTAGCACTAAATGCATTGGGAGACCGGAGAGGGATTATACACGCATTAGATATGAAAAATGGAGCAGTGGTAGACATAAATAGGAAGGCATGCGTCTGAATAGAGAACGACCCAAAGGGAAAGCTTGGGATACAATTTTGACGACAGACATACTCAATTAATCTCTGCGTGGGAAATTAAAATTAGAATTAGAAACATTAATATCGTTCATTTATAATTATGTGGTTATAGTTCTGTAGACTGTTGTATTTTTTACTCAATCCGAAAGTGAAAGGAGAGAGTGGAAGAGAAATGAAGATGAACAGAGAGGAAGCAAGAGTGAGAGAGAGAAAGAGAAAGAGAGAGAGAGAGAGAGAGAGAGAGAGAGAGAGAGAGAAAGAGAGATAGAGAGCGAGCGAGAGAAGAGAGGTGGGGAAAGGGAGATTGAGATGGAGACAAAAAAAAAAGTTTTGGAGGGCAATTTAAAACGGGCCAGAGAGTAATAAAAAAAAGGAGAAAGCGAGAAAGGGGGAGGGAGGGATGGAGGAAAAGATAGATAGATAGAGAGAGAGAGAGAGAGAGAGAGAGAGAGAGAAGGGAAGAGCGAGGAGAGAAAGGGGGAGGAGAGGGGGAGGAGAGGGAGAGGAAAGGGAGATAGACTGAGAGCAATAAAGAAGGAAAAAGAGAAAGAAAGGGGGATGGGGAAAAAGATAGAGAGAAAAGAGGAGAGAGAGGAGAGAGACGGAGGGGTAGAGGAGAGGGAGAGGGAGAGAAAGAGAGAGCGAGTTACAGAGCAAGTGAAAGAGAGAGCGAGAGCAAGAGAGGGGAGGGAGAGGTAGAGGGAAAGGGAAGGAGAGAGAGTTACAGAGCAAGTAAGAGAGAAGAAAGAGAGAAAGGGGGAGGGAGAGAGAGAGTTACAGAGAAAGTCAGAGGGCAAACAGAAATAATCTCCTACTAAATAAATCTACCTGTGGCTTGGCCTCGTAATGCATGGTCTCTTAATGCGAGTACATAATCATTTAAAGGGTTTGGGCAGACATTCATAGCTCAAACACAATATCACATCAATTCTACAAATAAATAATCCTCTTTTTTCTCATCTACACGAGGAGAGAAACGGTAGGGGAATCACAAAATCAACAGAATTTTCTCGTTTCTACGAGACCACGGGAAGCCAACTGTAGGCGTTCCCTAGTGCCATGCTTGCCGCCCCTGGTGCCTGCCATATTCGGAACCCAACACCGGGGAATGCTCTATATTTGGCACACAGGCACATGCCTGGCATTGAGCATGCATGGCAAATAGTTCTTCATAGGAAAATACAAGGGGCTCTTTGACGATTGCTTACACATGGGATGCAGGAGTAAATTCAGCAGATATATTTGGCTTCCCTACTACACGCACTACGCAGCAGTACTGACACACATAGAAGAAGGAAATAGTGCTTAGCTACCAGGCCGAGTAAAACTAATAAACGTAGAATGTAATTTCTGTCATTTTAGCTCATTATATATAGCATTTAATTTAACAGTTAGTCAGGGCATTTACTTATAAGTTGCTATGGAATGCAGGATACATATAATTCGTTTGAAGGATTAAATGCAGTATGCAGATGTAAAAGTATATATTTAGCTCTATCATGGGTAAAGCATTCGTTATATATGTTAACATAACAAAAGCTATCCTTTAAATTCTTTCAATCAAAATCTCAAGCCATTAGCCTTTCCTCAGAACTACCTCCAAGAGATTAAAGATCAAAACACAGTCAGTTTTTGACAAAAGCCTGTTTAGAGGAAATGTACATGTAAAACAATATAATTTTTTATTGTTAGACTGACCCGTATGTTTGCCGTCTCTTCAACTACGGCATAGGTGAGGTCGGTCTCCTCAAACCCTGTGGCACTCATTCGCTGGTCCAGAGCATTTTCGGCGCTCTCTCCATGCGGTACATCAGGCGAGTTCAGACATGTCTGTATGAGGGCCTTGCCTGTCTCTGAAGTTATCATAGGCTGAAGCTTGCGTGTTGCAAACGTGTAAACATGACCAGTTTCACTGGCCACTAGTAGCATAACCTGTGTCCCAGTCAATGTCGACAGTTCATATGCCTACAAAGAACAAATATTAGAACCGCTTAAAAAAACAAAGATAAAATCAGGTTTATATTCCATAACAAACAGCATGTACACCGAGTTGAAATACAGTATTACAGTAAGTTACACTAAGTTATTACAGTATTACCTGCCTTACAAAAGCATAGCATTCATGGAAAAAAACATTTGTAATACGAAATTCTGTGATTTGACTCACGTTTTCCTATTGACTTCCATTATTATATATAATCATAAACTCTCCTAAACTATGACAGAAGGTTTCCCGACTAAATTTATCTTAGGTAATCCCTCAATCACTTCTAATATAAGCGTAATTGTAAATGCAAGTAAACATTATCATAAATGTATACTGGGTATTTAGTAGTGATGTAACACAGGAAAGAAAGTTCATAATGAGCATTATTACCTTTACATCTAGAGTAAACTGGATCCAGGATACTGATTTTAAATGCACAATTATGAGTGCAAGTAAACGCTTTCAAACATACTTATTATATGGCTGTGAAAACCTTGTGTACTGCAAAGTAATTTGGGCAGACCATGCAACGTGCCATGAAGTAAAAACCAATATTACCAGCTGAAAATCATTGTTGCCTACAGAGCAGGACTGCCACCTAGAAAACTGAACCCATAAGCGTGCCGCCAACCGAAAACCCTTGCCAAATTTCCCATTTTCTGTCGAACCTAATAATAACATTTTCATATGATACGACAAGTGTTACTGTCGTTTTATTCCTAAACAGTGAGGCAGTACTGTTTACCTGAATACCGATGATTTCCATCATGCTAGCAACTGCATGGCTACATAATAGTGATTGAGCTCAACAAGCTTTTGAGTAGAAAAGCAGTTAACTCCTTTGAAAAATCACATAAGAATTATATTATTGCTGTTTCGTATTGTGAATTTAGCAGTCATTGTTTGCAAATTAGGAATGGGAAAACTTACCTAACCCAGGGTTACTACTCTGTATGATCCTATGATTGTTATAGTTATGTTATATATTACATATATGTTTATTTATACATGGTGCACCACAGCCGAATCAGATACTGCACACAAATGCATGGCTTATTATGAATATTTGGGAAGTTTTACATTGTACAAGCGAAATTTATGGCTAATGCGCAATACATACATGTAGACTGCAGACATACTATGGTTTGCTATACAGTGTACTAGCTAATGCATGATCACCATATATATGAATATATAGTTATCCACTATCAATTGAATAACTGTATATATATATGATGACCAACATTGGCCCTGAAGCGAACATACGTACGTGAACGTACTACATACGTTATATGACGGCACACGATTGCTTCTTGCAGCTAGACAAATATTGCAAATACAGCACATGATAAAGCTAGCCCATATTTATTTTGGGTGATACTCCATTAGGAGTGTTCCTAACTTTAATGTCATTAATGGTCATAATAACATATATATATATATATGGTCATGGTCATATATCAGTTTGTGGTTTAATGTCATTTAGGTTAGGGTTAGGGTTAGGATTATCAATCATTGACATATTATATCATATTAATTGAAGTCATTAATCATTAATCATTAATGATATCAAAGTAGGGAACACTCCTAATGGAGCGTTAGCCCCTATTTTAGATAAATCATAATATATGATCTAAGAAAAATTTTAATTTATGCATTGAATCTTTGACTTTGTGTTTGCAACGTTTGAATTAGTAATACTAATAGACTATAGTCTATAGACTAGTTTATAGTAATACTAATAGTAATAGCACGTTTCATTATTAACTATGGTATGTATATTGTCGGCCCTTACCTTTTTCATGATACCGGTTTTTCTCTTGCTAAAAGTGGTGTATCGCCTGAGCTTATTATCTATGAACTCCATCTTAATTTTGACTCGTCCTTTTGTCTTTTTTCCGTTTGGATGCGGCATTTTCTTTGAGTTGGAAATGCCTTGCGACGTTGCTGTTGGCATGATCATGCCCATCGCTATATCTTCATCCGAATCGTCCGAGAGAATACCTGCGTCCATCGCACTGCGTTTCTCCCCCAGTCCAGTCGCTATAGCATCACACAGGTGATGTCCTCCCATCGACGGTGTCGATGTAGGGAACACCATGCCCGGGGGTACAGAATTCTGCATCGTGAATCGGTAGTAAACGCGACGTAAAGAGAACTGTTTACAACTGTCCGGAGGTTGAGCACAACTTTCCGCAAAAGGAAATCAGAGTTGGGACGTAGCGCAGAAACACACCTACCATATCATGCCGCGCATATATAGTTCCGTAGTAATTTCTGAATCGCTAGTCGTACACAAGACATAACGATAACTAGTAACTATTTTCCTGCATTAAACGTTAAATTTAACACAGTAAATTATCAAAAGTGTTAGAAATTCCTCATTTTTAAATATTATTGGCGGAGCGCTTCAAAAGTGCACGCCGCCCATGACCATGTTTGGAACTTAGGGGTTCCCAAATATGGCAACCACGGTGCCATATAAGGTTACATAAGCTTCCATCATCTGTCAATAGATGGCGCGCGAACACCATGTGCGTTCATTCATCAGCTCCTCGAATCAGCTGAACTTCATGCGCGAGATAATAGAAACACGCGCACACCTACACATGTAGAAATCAATAAGACTAGTCTTAGTGCTAGTGCTACGAATACGATTGACTGCGTGCTTGATGCTATCCACAGAAATGTATCCGCATTGTGCCTAACTAGAATATAATTTCCATGATGTATGCTTCCATGATGCAGCTTCCATGCTGGTCCGCATGGAAGCTGCAGTGGCAACGTACCATTATGATTCAGTGGCGGATCGAGGATTTCAAGGAGGGGGTGAAAACAGGCCGGGGGTATGGGGGTCCTCCCCCGAAAATTTTGAAAATGTAGATCGCAGGAGATGGTATTTGAGGCACCTTTGAGTACATGAACAGCCTTTATTCTGACTACGACAATTCTCTTTTTAGTAGAACAATTCTTGCACTTGCAGCGCGGCATTGATTGCTGTACGTGGAAGGGCGGTCACCACCGCTGGGATGAGGGCGACAAAAAAACTCTTTCTTGGAATTGTGAAAAAAAGCTGCAAAACGGTGTTAGCTGCTTTGCCACGCAATTACATAATTTAACCCATGCATCAGCTGCTGTTATACTTGGCAATAATTAATTGGTATATGTGTAAACATCATGTTAGTCCAACAGAGGGGGTGGCTAGCCACCCAATCAACCCCCCCCTCCCCCGGGACCCACCACTGTGATGTGTGAGTATATAGTTACGATAAATACAGACGGATCTTTTAGACGTTAGTGCAAACATCACTCGGCATTCATCTATTAATGGTAAACAAAAGATAGTACGATAAGATACTTGCATATTTTCTCACTTCACTTTTATTCTTCAAAAAAAAAAACAGAAAGGAAAACTTACATCATCTTTATGTTAATACAATTAACTACATCTACAGACCCTGGAAAACTGTTCTTAAACCTGGTAACGTCACAAGTAACAGTCTTAGACTGTCAACACAGAACGAATCACAACTATGTATATGCGTGTAAAGTCGGCAGGGTAAAAAAATTTCGCAGCAAGTAAGCCATCAGCCGCAAGTAAATAAATGGTTTATGAACGCTTCTCATGAAGGGAAATCTCAGTGTTCGCAAAAATTGAGGCGTTAAAAATTGTCAACACCACAATATCTGTCTTATCAAACTAATATAGTGTACAATAGTAAAACGTCTACTGGTTTCTGATTTGGAAAGAATATTGATGAAAAATTACTAAAAACATTCAACTTTTAAAATTCTTTAGCATATAGATAACTTTGTCGATTAATGGTTTTTACATGTTAATAAATATGCGGACATTATTGAGGAGATTTCCTTCTGCAAATCGTTGGGTCCTTCCACATACCGCAAAGGAACATAAACCATTTGTTATCACGGCGTCATCAGACCTCTCTTCACAGAGGAAGACGGTTATTGCACTTCTACTCTCAACCATGCGGCAATGTTGCACGGACGTCAGAAGCAAACATTTCAATCTATACAGACAGGGCATAGGTCTTTCTAACCACCAAGAGCAAACGCCGCAAATTGTAAATAAAACTATAGCAGTGGACAACTGAAAGATCTCATTGATCTCCATCTAAATCACGGCTCTGTGTGCTTAAGAGATCGCACTTACAACAACACGGTGTTTGACACACAGACATTGACTCAGTATGCGCGCTACACATCAATGTGTAAAATTAGCCAAAAGCACCATGAGAGAACACGATGATAGAAACAATACAAACAATGGGCACATGTATGCTCACTTCTTTAAAAAACAACTGAAAAAAGATCTAGAGTTGGTAGGCATGGATACAACCAACTCTTCCACATAAATACACCATTGTCGAAAAAGCGAGAAAATTATGTTTTAATAATTTCATGCTTAGCATCAGGTTTTTAAAACATTATCAAAGACCGTATATAATTACGTACGGTCTTCATCATATATCGTCATGCTAGCCGATATACAGTGACTCCTCTTTTGGCCAGCATGCGCACGACTCTCTTCGAAGACCTTGCGGACTGAAGCACACGGTCGTTCCAGCGAGATCACGTACAAACGTCATAAATGTATAAAAGCATATTACGCACAAACATTGGCGAAGACATACAGTTTGGCCCCACGAGATTGGTGAGCGTACGACTTCATACATGCGTATACATCTTCTTGCTGAAGTTGGAGACAGAGTCGGCACCAGCATGCAAGCTACTCGCTCAGTATACACGAAAGAGCACAGCGGCTTCACCAAAGGTCAAAAAGCAGTGCACTGAATAGAAAAGGTCATCCGAGATTACGATCCACAACCACATTCATCATAAAATTATCTGTACACGTTCCCAATAGGGTTAACTTTACTAATACAACATTCCCACTGTATTATTGCTGTAGTTTGACAGCACAGTGTCGTCAAACATACACCTGCATGATAATAATAAAACCACTTACAACTAATCACGTACTCCATCCTTCACGTCTGAGAATTTCTCTAATTTAATTGGACAACATGAGACGTCATTAGTGTTTTCTAGTTCATATTAACAAGTATTTATACAAGTTGCAACTAGTCGGAGAGTGCTTTCTAGATCCGATGAACTGGATCATACCACAGAGTTTAATACTACAGCCAGTCGCAAGCTTAGATAAACGTACTGCGTAGATATGACGATGTTTTGCTCGTATTGTGAACAGTTGTTTATTCTCTGAATATAGATCGCACTCCTTTGATCTTCTAAATCACGCACTAAAAGATAACCTTGCTATTCCATGTGTAATTTCTTCGAATGCATGCAATATTTGTTACAGAACTTACTGTACAATATATACTTTGCCACTCAAGTGCCAAATCCCTTGCCTATAAAGCTGTTCATGAAATTACTGCAGTGACACGAAAGGAAGTAGGAAATCACCAGGAAAGGAAGTAGGAATATTTTCACTGAACATGTTTTACAGTTAATTTTACACAGCTTAATCGGCAAACATTAAATTACAATTCCTGAGCAGAACTATCTCGAGAAAAATTGCCGGGATAAAAATCATAGCAAGTGTCAGATTTGTCGTTTGAGTAGCAAATATCAAAATGTCAATTTCATCAGGACTATAAATACAGCAAATTTACAACTAATGCCTCTCATAGAGCTTTGGTCTGAAGTTCTCCTAACCACATTACATGATAAAGTAATACACACACAGTCCGATAACAACAGAGTTCCGAACACAAATCCATTTTCAAAGAACTTTCCTTTGATTCAGTAAAGTAATGTCTACAATTGCAATTCACGATTAACTGTACCTGTTCGCCAACTGCACAGGAACAGTAATATCTACACTCACTGCAACAATGCTGTAGCAGCACAATCAAGACTACACACGCCCACACAACAACCACTCTGATGCAACACAACCACATGGTCTTTGTGGGCCCATCATCTACAATGACCAGTAGCTTTTGTGCAGTGCAGGCTATTCATATACGATGCAAGCATCAGTCGTGTGGAGCTGTACCAGGCGCACACAGCTATCAGCCTGGTGCATCCCATTATATACAACCCAACCGTCAGTGCTGTGCAGCCAATTGCTATACAATACAACCATCAGTGCTGTGCAGCCCATTCTGATGCACCACATTATCAGTGCTGTGCAGTCTAACCTGACACAGTACAATAGTAGTTCTGTACAATCCACTCTGTCACATCACACCATCTATGCTGTGCAGTCTTCCCAGATGAACCATATAACTGGCTTGATGCAATCCAGACTAATGCAACGGGGCTATTAATGACATGCTGCCTATTCTGATGCAGCATAATCATCAGTGCTGTGAAGGCCCTTCTAATACACCACACCATCAGCAGTGCCAGTGCTGCGAAAACTCTGATGAAAACAGTCACAAACGTTGTGCAACTCAATCTGAAGCCAACCAATTAGGAGTGTCATCTGTAATGTTCCCTCAAATGGACCTTCATTGATGATAGGACGTCAAGTTTACCAAGCAAGTCCTGATAAGCAATGAGCCCTCTTGCAACCAAGGAGCAAGTACGTTACTGAAGTTCAGTAGCAGTTTATTATTCACAGTAGGGCATACGAGGCATACAGCAGCTGAAACTCGACATTATCACACCTGTTTCTGTAGATTTTAGACTGCTTAGACGAAGTCTTGAACTCCAAAGCTGGACAGTGTCGCCACCTAGTGGCATATTAAAAATGCACATCAGTTGACGAAAATAAAGTTTCAATCATGCTTCTATGGTCTATCTCCTGTTTAGCTCCATCTTTAAGGCTACAACGGAGAACAGAAAAACTGTCAATATAACTATCAATTGTCAATGTAATTCGCACAACCATTACATTTATCACGTGCCATTAATTTAAATTCAATTGATGTGAAATTTTCTAAAAACACAGATACCAATTAGTTAAGTGAACTTTCCAGTCCCTTATTCACTACTAGGCACCCTACAAATCTACAGTCTTGCTTATCCTACCTAGCATCTACCTGCTTTCATGCTATGGCTTTATACTCGTCTTCCAAACCTGGTGTGTTATACCACACCATGATGAATTCCCCTCATCTCATATCTGGATTGGCATGAATTCCCTGAATTAACTACTTTATGCCATCACTAACATCTCTCTCTCTCTCTCTCTCTCTCTCTCTCTCTCTCT